CCTAGAGTATCTAACAGATTAATGTGTGTGTGTGTGTGTGTGTGTGTGAGAGAGAGAGAGAGAGAGAGAGACTAAGGAGAGAGAAGTAGTAAACACCAACCCTCCAGAAACAGCAGAAGCTTCAAGCCCTTGACACAGTTCAATAGATAAGTTGCTTTACAGAGCTGAAGAAAGAAAATATACACAAAAGATTGGACAAGGCAGGCTCGTTTCAGGTCCCCTCCATCAAACGTTGTTGTCTGATGGGTCCTAGGAAGCGAGCCTTTTCTGTAGCTGTGCCTACCCTATGGGACAGCCTCCCCCTGAGATACACTCCTATGCTCCTTGCCTTCTTAAAGGCCATTAGGACTGGCTCTTCTCTCAGGCATTAGGTCAGGATGGGAGGTGAGCCCAGCCCTTTTTAAAAACTTGGGGGAGGGCGCTTTTTTTCATTTTTTTGCAAGGGTACTATTATGGCACTGGTGGTGTGTTAGGAGTTCTAACTTGGTGTTTTTATTATTTGTGTATTTTTTTCTTAGCTGCCTAGGATTGTTTATATAATAGAGGTGGCTGAATGAAAAGATCTGTTTGGTGTTTAATAATAGTTCCTTCTGGCTTGAGGGTCATGGGTTCCCACCCTGTCAACGTTAACCTATATTATTAAAAAGGAAAAAGTCCATTTCCTGTGAGGCTTGTTTGATTAGACTAGGGGTGCTTCCAGATAAGCATTTATTAGCATCATTATGGCTAATTAACCTTCATTTTACAAGGGCTGTATGCTTGTCTGTTTCCGCAAAGTTGCTTCCATCTTTTTCCTTAATGGTGAAAGTACATTAAGGGATGGAAGAGTGACATACTCGCCACAGGGCATTCCTCTCTCTGTGCATTTTCTCCTCCATCACAGAAAGGTCTCATTCCTTATCCTGACCCACCAACACGGCCGACAGGAAAGCTGCCTTCTATACTGATTATTAGAAAATTAGCAAAGCTCCTTTGGACTGGCATTGTGCCTCTCCCTCTGGAATACTCTTCTGACTAGCTGCCTAATCCCAGCACATGTTTTCCACTGCCATAGATTGGATTGCACTCAAGGGCAGGAATTAAATGAAAAACAAAAATCTAAAACACAATCCAAATATTTAAACAGTGAACATGCACTCCAGATTGCTCCAGAATCAACATGCCTTGAGCAACAAATGCTTATTTAAGGCAGCCTAGAAATGAATGCCAAAGATGAGAAGGATTGGGTTTAAAAATAATAATTTTCTTCATCTTGTTACCAGTCTTACCTATCCACCCAACACTGCCTTCTCATCTGGTTCATTTCCTGCTGTTGTTCAACAACCCTGAATTATGCCTTTTGGAATGAAAAAAGGGAGGGAAAAAGTCTAGCCCCAGATTAAGCTTCTCTTTTACCGCAAGTAACAGTATGTAATTATGACCTAGATTTGTGTATATGTTTTCTGGCTGTGGTAATCTCCTACTTTTAAGTTGAGCCAAAATTAATTAAATTGAGAGATGGGTAGGCTTATGTTGTAAACTAATGAAATTCAAATGCACAATTACAAGAAAATAATTTCTGGTGCTGTCGCTTAGTAGAAAGAGAACATTAACCAACTAATGTGATCTTGGACATGATATAATAGATACTTGCATAAAGCAAAGGTGGGGAGCCCTCGCCTTTAGCATATGTCATTTTTTCCAATCTCCAGATATTACCCCTGCAAATATTGGAACTGAAAAAGTAACAGTTTAAGCCAGAAGTCTGGTCTTTTTGGTCCTGTGGGCATATTTGGAATTTTTAGAGAACATTGAGGCTTGTTCACAAAATGGCTTCCATAACTTCAGTTCCCAAATTAGCAGAAGACAAACTGGTGAGGTTATTGGAAATACAGATTATGCATGAGGCTTTTAGTTTGCTTTGTGGTATGCTAGTTTCCCCCTTTTAAAACTGATACTAAAAAAAAAAAAAAAAAGATAGGTTTCCTGGTGGTTACCAGGAGAAGGATGGCCCTCTCTCTAACTTGGGAATGTTGGCAATGTGGATCCAATGGCGCTGACTGTTCAGCAACTTATAACTCACTGTCCATAATTGGGAAAGGAGGTTAGAAAGTTAAGAATTTACTCTGTTGCCGGTCTATATCCACAAAGCCCCTTTTCCCTGGTTCAAGGACACACCACTAACTGTTTCCAAAGGTTAGCACCTGTATCTCATTGTCAGTTCATAATTGAGGCAGATCAAAGGTGAACTATGGTGCCCCATTCTGTAAGACATGTTTTCCCTTTTGTTCTGGCTCTAGACCCTGCATCCAGGCCATCCATGGCACATGGAAGAAAAGATTTGAGATGATGTAGTTGGAGGTGGCAATGTGTTGGCCCCAGTTGGTCCTACAGTTCTACTTAGGACAGCTTTTCTATCCTGTATCAAGACTCAGCACCTCTTCTCCAGTGCTGATTTGACTCTGAGGGAGATTGGTTCACCTAGACAGTGCAAAATCCTGGAACTGACTAGCCTCTCCCTGGCTGAATGCATGCAATTGAAAACATAATTTTAATGTAAAAGAGTCACTGGTGTGCTTCTGTGGCTTGTGTGGTATGGCATTCCCTTCACAGTGGCTGCAGTTTGCAACTCCCACAGTGATCCTTACAGCAAGCCCACTTTCTCAAACTACAGTTCAACATGGCTCCAGCAGCTGCATTTCAGCTGTATGAACTCAGACGACCACTGGATGATGGCCAAGATAGATAGAAAACTGACTCTTTGCTGCCACCTTATAAGGATTTTTTTTAAAGGTTCTATCTGTTAATAGTATGACCATGGGGGGGAAATCATTGCAGTCCATGGAGTAACTACAGTGTTGTGCATAGCAGTTAGAAGAGGTTTTTCATATGGTAGATAGTGTTGAGGGGGCTGGAGTGTCATCTGAAGGAATCACCAGTCATGGCCCTTAGAATGTCATGTGTTAAAGTTGTCTGGAGGCCAATGCAGCAGAGTCCTATTTCAGGTAATGGCACCCTATTTGGGCAGGATTTAAAGTGGCATGATTTCCTGATGGCCCTGGAATGGGGACATAGCAGGGCAGTTTGTCTCTTCCTCTTCCTGCGCTTTGTCTAGGAAGATTGCTAATCTCATGTCACTTCCTTCTGCCTTTCTTCCCAGGTACACAGGAACAGAGCACATGCTTTTTGACCCTCCTCTTTGTAGGATGTAGTTAACTAGGTCCTAGGATTGGTCTATCCATATGAAGAATTTCCTGTAAATAAATATCCTTTCTATTCTACATAAAACCTGCTTAATTAAGCATTGTTCAGGTCAGGTTCCTGTGATAAGGCACTCTAATATGAACAGACAGAATGGTTACCCCCTACCTCATTCCTCAATTGCCCTCCAAGTATGCCTGTGTAATGCCCAGCATTACCCACTTTGATGATAGCGATACACCAGTTATTCAAATGCCCATTATTTGGTGCCAAAAGTTTCTCTCTCTCTAGGGTTTAAACCTACACATCATGAATCAGCATTAATTAAACATGAGAAAAGCAGCACAGAATAATCATGAATATTGGAGAATGTATGTCGTTTAGCAACACATTTATTTAGAGTAGCAAAAATAAGATAATGTTGTACACGCTGCTTTTTTATTGGTTTACTTGATATCAAATGAACCCTTTCTCAACTTGCTGCTAAATTATTTTGTCACTTTTAAAAACCAGAGTCAAGGGAGGGATTTCTAAAACACATTATTCTGTATATCTTGGAAGCCCGACATTTTCTTTGAGCTCTATATTTCTTGCTTAGGCACCCTTTCAGGAACAAAAGGAATCTGTCCCATACAGTTTTCCTGAGTAACTGGGATTAATAAACAAAATCTTAAGGGCTAAGCTATTTATTAAGAAAGCACATTCCATATTTTCAAACAGTGGCTGAATGTAATAGGATTTTGTAGGAACTGGTGATGATCTGGCACTGCAGTACTAAGCAACTCACTGATGTGCCCCATGTCTTTCCTTTCCTTCCTCAAGGCATTCCAGAGGACTGTAGGAAGCTGTTTCCAAGAGCAGCTGAGACTCCAGGCCCAGGTGAGACTTCTGGAACACAGCGTGAAGCAACAACAGGCAAAAATTGTGAACCTCTTAATGGAGAGGGATATTCAGAGCAGAGATAAAGAAGGTGAAAATAGTATCATCAATCTGGGAGAAGAAATGGAATACAAAGGTTAGAAATGAATCTCATCTTTGCTCTCCAGGTGGGCTCAAGCCAGCCATTTCAGAAAACTATGGGATGACCAAAGTATAGAATCTATACCATGCCTTCAACTTCTAAACATTATATAGAACCACCTGTTTTGAATTGTTTGCCTACTCTCATTTCAACTTTTCAACAATATACTTTGTAAATGTAATTGAATGAATGAATGGAATGGTAGCCATCACTGTCCATTTAGTCATCAAACCATATCATAGTAAATTTCAGATCATGGTCTCTCATGTGATTTTCCATCAGACATTATTTGTCAACTTGGACACTGCACCAGCTATAGTTAAACATAACAGTTTGGCATAATGACCAAAATTTATTACAGCCATATTACAATAGAAGAAAAAATAATATCTTTAACCTTACCCCTAATGTATAAACATGATTACTGTACATGTAGCTAACCCAAAAGTAGACAAAGAATTGGGGTTTAAGCTGCTCTGGGCCATACCATGTAATCAGAAAAAATAGGGGGTAAAGAAAATGGGGGGGGGGAACATTTCCCTAGCTACTCCCAGCTATGGGCTTGATTTTATCCCATAATAGTAATGAGAATTTTATTTAATTTGCCAGCACAAAGCATTTTATCCTGCATAGTGCGTGAGAAAGCAGATCTCTAAGCCCCACCCCTTCTCCTTGTTCAATGGCCTTTGTATGGGACTTTTACTCTTCATAAATAGAGTTTAGTATAATGATTTACTACATTATTTTTAACAGAAATCTTCCAGTTAGAAAGAATTACTTATATTACATTGCAATAATCTGAACAGTAGTTTGCAGTTCTAAATGCACTTACTAGGGAGTGATTTCATGTAATTCATTAAATGTGATTCAAGTTGTGCCGTAAACCAGTAGATAGTTATTAGAATTTCCTTCATGCTAAATTCTGGCATGCATTGAAACTCAGATTTCAAGTTTGAAACTTTTTGTTGGCAACCATGTAGTATGGTCCAATCTTGAGAAACTAAAGAATATCAATATTAAGTCTGACTAGGGAAGCTGCAAATAAAGGGGGAAGTAGATTTTTTAAATGTTTGCCATCAATCATTGACCTGAAACAGAAACGGAGTTAGTAATAACTGTGAAAAAGTATTCGCAGGATGTGTATTTGCAGGACTGTTTTAAATTATTTAACTGTAGAATTATATATCTTGAATTTTTCCAGAAGCTTTCATAGAAATGATTCAGCCAAGACGTAACATGGAGCAAGAGCATCCAAAACAGTTAATGAATGCTGGCTAAGCATTTTAGTAAATATTACTGGGTAACCCAAACTGCAGTTCTATGTCTGAGTAGTAATCAGTAGCAACTCATTTCAGCCAACTCACATAAGCTTTGTGTTCTATCATTGAGTCATTCAATGAAGACATCAAGCTACTAGGCTCTGTTAAAATCATTGCTCTCCGGCTGTTCTGTGCTAGAACTGTAACTCTGGTAAGTATTTCCTTAGTTCTACCTCATGGTCCTTTTGCTGTCAAACCATGATGGGATAGCTCAGATCAGCCTGTACCTAACAGAAAAGGCCAACCCTGATCAACATTTTATGTCTATTTTGTTTCTCATTTCTCCCAGCAGTAATTCATCTTCCAATGTTTATGGTAAAGCTACTCACATGCAGAATCAATAACATTTAGTCATAATTACCTTCTGAAGTTTAACTATGACTAATATTAAGCCAAACAATTGCCTAACTATACCATTTTAGAACTTAGTAATTCTTTATGTCAGGAATGCGTAACTTTTTCCAGGCTCAGGGAGGTGCAGTCCTAAAAGTAGGACAAAATATTATATTTTGTTTTGTTGCTTTTTTATTGCTGATAAAGGTTTTTGTCTTGAAGTTTTCAGTAAAAAATTAAGAATTACAATGTTGAAAATACAGATAATCCAGGGATAATGGGGGTTGGGGTTGGGGCTGGGGCTGGGGAGGACAAAAATATATACATGCATGATATGTGATTTTAAGAACATTTAAGAACATTTTAAGAACATTTTAAACATCCATATGCAATATTTTTTCCAGAAAAACATTCGTACAAAAGTACAAATAAACATGATATACACTTATAAATAGTGACTAGAATTAAATAAAGATATCCCTTGTATGGTTTTCTTTCATTGTTCGGTTTTTCAAGGTTTATTATTATGTAATAATAGACTTCTCTGTCTAGCCTATTGTCCAGAGATTTTCTGGTAGTCTCCCATCCAAGTACTAACCAGACTGAGCTCTGCTTAGCTTTTTGATATCAGTCAAGGTTGATTAGATCCTTCCACCTAGCCAAGCTTCCTTCCCTTAAAGCAACATCTCCTTGGAGCTGAATTTAACCCTAGTGACTTCATATGCAGTTTTCTTCTTTTATCTCTGAATAAATACCCTAGGACTTATTCCTAGTCTAGGGGTACAGATGCAAATACTCTCACATAAAGAAAGAACAGGACACTTGGCAAGAAATAATATATGATCCGTGAGTGGCATTTGCCTAATTGAATTAAAAGTTGCTTGGCCAGCACTATGTAAATAGAAAGAAGGAGAATGTAATTAAACTGTATTATCTAAATCTACTGATGTTTGTCATGATTCAGATTGTGCTGAGATCTATCATGCTGGTCATACACAAAGTGGATTTTACAAGATGAAACCACTAAAGAGCCCCAATGGATTCTTTGCCTACTGTGATATGTCAGAAGGAGGTGGGTGGACAGTCTTTCAGAGACGGTCAGATGGGAGTCAAAATTTTGATAGGTAAGTTTTGGGGTAAAAAAACCTAAAATCTCTAGATTCAGCTCAGCCTTTCCCACAGTCTTGTTTTTATGTACTTTGAAATAAAAATAATTTAGAATTTCCTATTCTTATGGGCAAGTTAAAATGTATCCTTTGGGAGAATTTACACTCAGACTAATGTATCTCATTGCAAAATTTCTTACGGTTCTTAGTTAAGACATAGTTTATTATAGAATCAAGACAGAATAGTTTTTTAACTGAATGCATGAGAGAGTTGTATGGACACAAAAGGCTGAGCCTGAGGTTCCCTCAAATACCCAAAATGTCCAGATGCTTTGGATGATTCTTAGATAAGCTATTTACTTGCAGATGAAGAATCTAAAATGATGCGATAAGTAGCAAAATTCTGTTTGGTTGCTTACTGAGTAAGGCCCTGTTACACGAAGAAGCAGAACGTTTAGGAAGATGGAAATCAGTGGTCTTCTCTTTTATTATTGTACTTCACACTGATTCAATTAATTTTTATTTAAGATTTATATTTCTTGTTATTATAATCTGAAGCAACATAATGATTCTGCTTTGAGAGTGTAATAAGGTTTATTGATTGATATTGATGGAGGACCTGAATTTGCAATCAAATGTTAGTAGTCATTGTACATATTAGAAGGCAAATCTATAAAATGAACTGAATTTACTTTTTTTTTTTTTTGGCCTGGAAACAAATCACAAATATATCTTTGTAATTTGTTATTGTCAGAGAACTGTGCAAACTGTTTTAAAGCCATTTGATAATCTTTTGTGATTCATGCAGATCAGAGGCTTTTTTTTTTTTTCCAGAAATTGGACTGAATATGAACAGGGTTTTGGAGATTTTACTTCAGCAAATGGTGAATACTGGCTTGGAAATAAAAATCTGCACTATCTGACTTCTCAGGGTAAGAAAAGCACAATACATTTTCATTAGGAAAACCAAAACTTAATAATAAGAGATTGACTGATTTTGTAATAATGAGCACAAAGGCTAGAAGCCAATAGGATTTCTTCCCAGTTGTAGTTCAAATTAGGGTGTCTCTGAGCGTGTTTTATTCTGGGAGTTATTGCTAAGTTTATTAACAGTATTAGATACATTCTGATGTAGCCACATCCCAGGGAATAAATTTAATTTATTTGATTTAGGGGCCACCCAACTCCAGAGTAACTCTGGGCAGCTCACAATGTATCAGACAAAATAAAGTATTATATGAAAAAGAAAAAAAAAACCCACAAGGTAAGTAAGAAACAAATTAAAATAAAAAACAAGATGGCAAATCCTGCCAACAACTCAAAAAACATCCCACAGGGGGCTCCAACCACCCTAGAACAGCTAGGTCTTTAAGGCTGTCCAGAACGCCCTCGGGATGGGAACCACCCGGGTCTCAGGGAAATCTCATTCCAGAGGGCAAGTGCTATGACAAAGAAGACCCGCTTTCTGTGTCTGGATAGATGATATTGTTTAATTGAAGGAACCCAGAGCACACCCACCCCGCCACTCTATCATCTGGGCAGATATCATGAGAGATAGGCAGTTCCTCAAATAACCAGGCTCTAGGCCATGTAGGGCTATATAGGTCATAACCAGTAGCTTGAATTGCACCTGGAAGCAAACTGGCAGCCACTGCAGCTCCTGGAGCAGGGGTGTCTTCTGGGCATAACGAGACATACCCATCACTGCCTGCACTCCTGCATTCTAGTCCAGTTGAAGCTTCCGAGTGGTCTTCAAGGGCAGCCTCGTGTACAGCGCATTGCAATAGTCGAGCTGTGGGGTGACTAGGGCATAAGTAACTCTCTCAAGGGTCCCTTATTAAATCTTATTGAATATTGGATTTTTTTCTAAGCAAGCATGTCCAGGAAAGCAATGAAGAGAATTTAACTGCTTTCAGGATTCACTTTTATTTCTGAGAAATGCACTCTTCAGAGATGAATGTGTGGGACAAAATACATATTTGCAAACAGCTGAGTCTCCCTTAAAAATAGTTATCTGTCCCAAGACTCCAGACAATTTCTCCTTGACCTGGTGTCCCTTCCCATGTGTGTTGGAATCCAGCTTTCTTCATTCCATTGCCTGGGATAACAGGTATTGTGGTTCAGCAGAATTAGAGGCCACTTGGCTAATAAAAGCTACTTTAGGTAGAGCAGTTATTTTGTTTTTAAAAAAGCACACAACACTCCAGCATTTCATTCCTATATGATATTTGCTGGTTCTTGTATGATAATCCCAATTTGATTATTACAGCTTGCATATTTTGAAATATCTGCTCTGGATACTGAGTCAAACTGAGACAGAAGAGAGAAACAATGTGGCTGTCGTCAAGTGAAACTCACAGCCACATCTACAAACTCTATCAATCTGGAATTATAGGGAAGCAAGTTTTCCCACTTTTTTTTTCCTACCCAGACAAGAGAGAGTTTATCAAAAAATAAACGCATTCAGTTGTAGGTTTTGTTTTGTTTTATAATCCAACAGCTAATTTCAAGCCTGGAATGAGTAAACACAGGACATAGCTGTATACATATATACAGGCAAGCTGATCAGACCTCACAGTCAGAACAAAGCAAAGAATCACTGTTAATATAATTTACGTGTTGAGCACATGGTTAGAATCATTGGTAAGGAATCACTACTGCATGGTACAGAATAAATTGCTGACTTGCAGACTATAAAGAGCAAGATCTTTGATTACAATTATACAATAAATTTATTTTAAAGAATAGTGCTAATAGATTATAAAGAAAATTCCATATTAACCTGCCATGATTAATCAAAGTATGTCACTATCATACTAAGCAATAGGAAAATCAAACTCTGCTAAACACTATCTGAATTCTCTCAGTGCCTGCAATTAATTGAATAGAAGTTCTCCTTCGTCTCTTCTGAATGTCGTGCCTTCATTTGTTGTTATTTATTCAGGGAATTATACCTTGAGAATCGATTTGTCTGACTTTATGGGTGAACAACGCTTTGCACAGTATGAAAAGTTTCGGGTTGCAGATGAGCAGGTAGTAAAAGTAGCTTTATTAGAATTTGGAATTCTAAATCCATAGCATAAGAAAACAAGTACTTCACAACTGTTGTATCATTCAGAATTCTGTGTGTGCATGAGAGAGAGTGTGTATTATAGTATGTTAGACTACATGACCTCCATTCAGCTGTGAACTTCATTAATTGGGGGCAGTCAAGAGGGTCCAATTACATGTAACACTTAAAGCCATAATGTATTTTTGGGAAGTTAGTGTGATCTATGAAGGAGAACATTTTCTTACCTAACCAATTTCACAGAGTTGCTGTGGGGAGATAACCTTATTCATACTGTATAGATAATCTGAACTTCTTGGTATAAGGAGGAAATAGATGAGTAAATACTATTTTTAATGGGCATTTCAACTTCAAAGGCAGTAATTTCTCAAACTTCTGGCATTCAGAAAATGGAGGGACTACCCGCCCAATTAAGTAAACACACACTACACCCCTCCCCATTTTCAAATTTAAAATCATGGGAATTCACAGTATGCTAAATTCTTTCATTATGGGCTCCAGTGTGAAAAAAATCGGTATAGAATAATATGCTCAAGAGACTTGACTTCCTGTTCATTAAATGGACAGTCCTCAAAAACTGGGAAATCCCTGCATAAGTTCCCTGCAGAAGGTGTAACAGAATCACTGTGCTATACGTTTTCTGCTTAATCTTGCCTGTTAGATGCTACCACATGAATAAAACCTTTGCATGTTCTATTCATTTCTTTGTTCACTGCATGCATTGTTTTCCTTTTTGAAGATCTCTCTTAAGTGCTAGACTTGTGCTCCACTTATATAATTCTCTTACTCCTTCTCCAACTTCTTTGCTAGAATTCCTACATGATGAATTGTGGGCAATATTCTGGAACAGCTGGTGACTCTCTCACTGGGGGATTTCACCCTGAAGTTAAATGGTGGGCAAATCACCAAGGGATGAAATTCAGTACCAAAGACAGAGATAATGACAACTATGAAAAGAACTGTGCTGAAGAAGATCAAGCTGGCTGGTGGTTTAACAGGTTGGCTATCTTTTCTCATTATTTTGACTTGGAATAACTAATTTTGTCTAAACTCATGTATAGTAATACAGAAGTTCTGGATCTGAGTAGCCATCAATAACTCAGCTAAATGGTTACACTAATTCTGCCATTATAAATTACAGATAGGTCTCAATTAGTTCAGCTAATGAATCCCATAAAACAGTCACATTATTCGAATTTTCACTATTAACATGATATTTCTAGGGAATATCTAGTAATTGATTCTAGCTCAATGGAAATAGGCAATGAAAAAAATTAAACAATTTTCTATGTATATTAATGAAATATTACATTAAAGGCTAAAGAGAATATACTTTTAATTTAAATTTATGGTTAACAAAGTCACAGAGTAGTTATAGAAAGCAAACTAAAAACAAAAAAATTCTACTATAGATTCAGGCATTCCAACATCTCCTCCTATTTTAGCATTGCCATGACCATGTCCACGTCATTCAGTTACTTCAAATTTTTGCTGTAATGTAATAACGAGCCTCTTCGTTTTTGTCTGACAGAATTTCCCTTTTCTCCATTTTGCACACACGAAGATTAGCGGCATCTCAAACCCCAACATCAACTACACCTGCACTATCCTTAATTACACACACACTAGCCTCACATTAATTGAATTTTGGGTTGCATTAAACATGACCTGGAATCAGTTTACAATTTACACTAAATCAAATATTGCATTATTTGAACTCAAACTATTCATGACCTACCTGTATTTTGCCATATGCCAACTTAATTGGAGATAAACTGCATTACTGTGAGAATGGTACTTCTGAATGAACACATGTAGGATTGCACTACACAGAAAGTTATTGCAGCAAAGAACTCTATTAACTCCCTCCTATTATAATACCCCAAGAGAAAACTTTACTAAAGTGTGAGATCATGTGTATTTCCTGCTGTATTGTCTTGCCTTCCCTGGCTTTGTATATTCTGGATGTATTGAATTGTCAAGATCTATTTTGACCACCAAGCACAGCAAAACACATGCCAGGCTTATCCTCCCTCTCTTAGCAGACATCTCAGATGTGACCTCCAGGAGAGTAGCTAAACTCTGCTTAATCACCACTGCTGTTTGCTGCAAGACAGCATCATCTCTCCTCTTTAGAATTTTATGAGCCATCGGGGCAGAATCATAAACCTGTCAATTTATAGTTTTAAAAGGTTCAGTAGTAATCAGAAATAGCCAACAAGTTTACATTTCTTTATTCATGCTTATCTTCTTAGAGCCATCACTTAAGTAGCTCATCATGAGTGGGAATATTTTCTAATTTTATTTTTACAATATTTTGGTTTAGTTTAGTCTTATTGTTTTAAAATTATATTTAACTTTGGTTGTTAGCCATAATAATAAAAGTAACTAAAACTTTGAGCATGACCATCAGGGATGCTAAGAGCTATTGTCCAATGTATTTGGAAAACCTAACATTGGGGAAAACTAGTCTAGTCTTTCTCCATAAGTAATAGGATTAGAAGAAATCAGAAAACATTCCTATGTATTTGGAGGATACTGGGATAAAATGCCATCTCTTGCTTGACCCTCAGCCAGATAAGATGTGACATTTGCATGGACTATAAGCAAGTTTGCAATGAATTAAGAAACATTAATTGTTTGTTTCCATACCCCTGTTCTTTTCTGCAGCATTCTGGGATGCTGCAGAGCATTGATCAGACAGAACGTAATGAATAGAAAAATATTTTTAAATGGTTGCATTTAAAATATACCTGTGCACTTGCATATCTAAGGGAACTTTAATGACAGCTTCCAAAATAATTATTGTCAACACTGGACAATAAATATAGCAAGGAAGTATATTTATATAGCCACTGTAACAATATGCATAATTCTTAGGAAACCAGTTGCCTTGTACCATTTGAGAGCCATCAAATACATTTGGGAAGATTTTGCCAACCAGAAGCAGTTTCAATGTTCTGTTATTGTACTTTTCCTTTGTTCTGGATTTCTTCAGGGAAGTTGTTTGGCTTTGTCTATCCCTTTGTCATATTCACAAGCTGTCCCCAATGACTGCAAGCATCTTGTGATGCAGTTTGAGTTGGACTGAGGTGAAGCCAAGTTTACTGTATGTTTCAGCTCTCATCAACGCTAAGTTGATAAAAAGGAGGAAATGAGACAATGTGTAAATCCTGTTTTCAGTGAAGTCAAAGCTTCCACTAACTTCAGATGGGAGTTTGTCACTGCTGAAAACATTAGAGTCACATTCGTTTCTGGTGAATCATTACTGAATATACTGTATTCCAATTATTCTGAGTCACAGAATAATTATTATAAATGCATTATTCCAGCTCTCATTAGTTTTCATTACTTGTTTCAAACAAATCATGGAATTATATCTTAGCATTCATTCTGTAAACCTATCATTATTACCCTTTTCCCCTCTGGACTTCCTTCTCCCCTACTTGGGGTTGGGCTTCCCTTGGAAATGGTGAAATTTGAAGTGCTGATAGGAGAACTTGGTGAATGACGTACAGCTCGAGAGCCAAGTCATAGAGTATTTGCTATGTTAAAAGAAAGGTTGAAAGAAAGGTGAAGCTCAGTCTTCATGGACTTAATAGGGCTCTCTCCCACCTAGAAGAGTACACTTGACTGCAATCTAATTCAGATTTTATATTTTTATGGATTCATTATGAGTGGGTTCTCACATAATCGGTCACAATTTGTGAATAAATTATGTACATGGATGGATGAACTATTAGGCTATGGATGCCGTGTAAGCAAGTAGTCTGCTATAGTACTCCCTAACAGGATTTATAAGTGGAAAATGGTCATATCCTACATATCTCAGAAATGTGCCTCAGTCACAAAGGGAAGGAAGTGGCTCTATTTCTATTATTGAGAAACTGAAATAATTGTCTTGTTTTTAGCTGCAGACTGCACATCCTGAACCACAATGTATTTTAACTATGGGATTGACTATAACTGGACTCTCGTTCAGTTTGATTTTGATAGCATAAAAATGATTCACAGTCTTGGCTTCAAATGCTACAAAAGGTAGATCCCTCGTTTGACAAAGCCAGATTAATAAAATAGTCCAGAGAAGCCTAATCCAATGAGATAACTTCAGCACAACAGTACTGAAAAGGATTAGTATCTCTTGGCCATTCTTACAATAAAGCCTTTTGCATTAAGGATGTTTCTCTAAAGAGAAATATTTTCCTCCACTAGCTGACAATGTGCAGCCACTTTGGCAAAGTAGCCAAAAACACCCAAATGTAGTCATATAATGAAGTAAATTCTGATCCATGAAAAATTATTCCACAGTAAAAAAGGACTGCTTTTTTTACAATTTTCTCCCAATTTCCAGACTCTTTTCCTTGCGAAGGTGGTTGAGAAGGTGATGGGAAATCAATTACAGAGACTTTTAATTGAAATTGATTATTCAGATAGGGATGGAAATGGTACTGGTTGTTGAAGTTGATTACCTCTCCTAGGGTCTTGATATGGGGGAACATGTCCTTCTTGAACTTATTAGATCAAGAATATTAGATTAATATTATAATATTAATTAATATTAATATAATATTAATATTAATATTAATATAGGCAAAATTTGGACAATTCTTAGGCTTTGGTATAAAACTTGAAATGACCCTAAATGACCAACATTTGCTCACATTCTTCTAAATATAATGTTATTTTTAGGATATGCACATTTTCCACATTACAGTCTTGTTAGCCAGTAATGCCCAGACCTTATTTGCCTATATGACATATGGTGCCTAATAATTATTCCAGTGATTAACATAATTTACACAGACCTATTTTCATCTCATAGCAATTAGGTACCATAAGAACATCATTATAATATTGTTGAGCAGATGCAGTGAGAATACATCTTCCAGAATTCCTGGCCAACATGATCTTGAGGAATTCTGGGAGCTGTAGTTGCAGCAAATCTGATACTGAAGAAATAAATCTGCCTAGCATAAACATTGCAAACCCATAAAGGAATAAATGCATGATCAGATTTGCTAGGTCCTCATGCTAATGTACCATGATCAGAGGCTTTGTGTTCTACAGGTGAAGATCTGGTATCTCTTTAAGAGCCAACAACATGATTATTGAATGTGAAGATTGTGCCATGCAGCACCGATACTTGCAAGAATAACAGTGCCCAATTCTCCAGTTCTTTTCTGGGTTTTTTTCTTTTAAACCATGCTTTTTGTTGTAAACAATGGAGCAGTGTGCGTGCAGGAACAAAACCAGCAAGCACAGACAAGGGAAAGCATCAATCACAGGTCCTCATCACATATGCATAAGGAAAGACAATGGAGTTCCCTGGGCTGCTTTGTCAAAGATGCCTACCTGGTAAAAATCAGATCACTGGACAATAGAGCTTCTTTGGGGTTTTAAAAACAAGGCAGTAGAAAAGAATAACAATGAAGGCTGGCTAGATTACGACTTATGAGATTTAACACATTTGCTCAGGACACATTGTACTAAGCAGTAATATGACTTGTTTGGCTTTGATTTAGCATTATGGTTGCAACAAGCTATAAACTTCTTTAGTATAAATCCAATCCATGACTGAGTTTGCACATTGTACAAAGCCAAAATCAAGCAGATCATATTATGGTCTAGTGCAGAGGTAGGCGATCTGAGGCTCCAGGGACTTATACAGTCTGCCACCCCAATTTTTGTGACACCCAGAGCCACTTCTGACTTCAGTTGCAAAACTAGTGGTTAATTATAGTGGCAAGAGTGTATTATCTTTTTAAATTATTTTAAAGTAAAGTCTTGTTTGCGTCAAGCTTGACTCCTGATGACTCTTTAGTCTTGTCCATGTAATTTTCTTAGCAACAATACAGAACTGGTTTGCCATTGCCTTTTCCCAGGATATTTCCTTCCTAGTTTAGCTTAGAGCTTTGGTATTTCCTGGTGATCTCTCATCCAGGTACTAATTAAATCCAATGCTGCTTTGCTCTTGAGATCAGTCTACTTCTGCTAATAACATGTAAATAGAATCATGGAATCATGGAAAATCTGCTTCTCATCGCAGGATCCATTAGAACATCTCTAACAGATGATCATCCAGCCTCTGTTTGAAGATCTCTAACAAAAAAACTTCATCACTCCCTGTGACACTTCATAAGTGAGAAAGTTCCTCTTGATGATTAGCATGAGTTTGCTAAAACTAAAGCCATTCGTTCTAGTCCTGCCTTCTACAGCCATAGAGAATCCTTCAAATATTTGAAGACTACTTTCATATCTCCCCTCAATCATTTCTTCTGCAGACTACATTTACACATATCTTTTCATTATTCTTCATAGGCATGGTTTCCAGGCCTCTCACCATCTTGGTAGCCTTCCTTTGAACTCATTCCAATTTGTCTCTGTCCTTTTTGAACTCTAGTATCCAAAACTGGATAGAGTATTCCAAGTGGAGTCTAACCAGGGCAGAGTGGAGTAGAACAAATACACCCTGTGATCTGGTCTCTTTGGTCCTGTAAATACACCCCAAAAGTGTGTTCTTGTCTTTTTTTAGCTGCTGCATCACACTATTTGTTCATGTTTACCTTATGGTTAATATGGCCCTTTTCATAGCCAATATAGTTATGTTGTCTGAATTGAGGAAATTGCACTAGTGGAATAAAACATAGTTAAGCCTGTTGGAGGAACACATGCCTTTGGTTATTTTCATTGCCAGGTGTTCCTGTTTCAAGAAATTATTTTTCTTTTCAAATGAAGTTGATTAGCAGGCAAAGAGTGGAAACAATTAGTACTGAATCAACCAACAAAGGAAGAAAAATACTTTTTGTTTTTTTCTTGCTATACAGGTAATCCCCAGTTTAAGAACAAGTTCTGTTCCCAAGGTCTGTCCTTAAATCGAATTTGTATGTAAG